CCCTTGCTAAGGGTAGAGTTCTTTCACTTCCTGTTGTCTCACCCTCATTTGTAACTATGAGTCACACCACTGGGGTGATAACCCTTCCCTATGCTGTCCAAAGCTAAAAAATAAATATTGTTGTCTGGAGTTAAAAATGTACCTGTTCCGACTTACAAATAAATTCAACTTAAGAACAAACCTACAGAATCTATTTTGTTGTAAATTGGGGGCTGCCTGTATTAGGAAGTGCCATTAGGGTGTGCGAGCTTTTTAAATACTCCGGAATTCTTCATATACTTCGTTGTTGTTTTCTGCCAACAAGTTGGCTTTAACCTATGGTGATCCTCTGAATGAGGCCCTCCAAGAGGTCCTGTTACCTTATAAACTCAGATCTGTGACTTTCTTGATCTTGTACTAGGTGGCACAAAATGCTAAACAAGGGACAAAACTGAAGCCTCCCAAAATTAGGATATATGTTGTGGCCATGTGGCCTGCAGTTAAAGCACCCTAATGCACATTGCCTGGATTACTGATAGACTTGGAAAAGTCAGATAATACCTAGTGATATATATCAGGGTGGAAAATCCATGTCTGTTCTACATTGACCAAGGCACAACAAGGCTAGCTGTAACTCAGAGATCTTGACATTACTTTGGATGAACCATTGGTTACTAGGTAGGTGCAGCACAGAAACATGACGTAATTACATCTCTAAAGTTAGAGACTAAATTTAAGTAGTAAATTAAAATAAGTTGAGGCCAAATTGTGTTTCCTAACAGTGGAGCGGGGTTGTGATATCTTTGTGATAGCATAGGTTTCTTGGATATGTCAAGATTGGGCATTTAACTTGTATTAGAAATGTTTTGTTCTCTCAAATCTCCCAATGGTAAAGCTCTGAATTGTTTTGTAGACCAGGAAATGAAATTACCTTAGACCGCAAATGTTTTCTTCACAGTTTTAAAGCAAATTCTTCACCCTTTTCTCAAAGCAGTGCTCCTTCCTGACATGGTGTGAGATATAATGACTTTGTAAAGTGAGTTGCTCTCGTTATTTTTCAAACTCCCCAAAGTGATTAGCCCACATTCTAGATCAATCACTTGCCAAATTTTAATTAAGAATGCGTGGGGGCAAATAAAACCACCTCTTCATCATTCCTTTTTGGTGCCGTGTTTCAGCCCCGGAGCTACATTTTGTAGCCGGGTTTTATAAACCCTGGAAAACTGGGGTTTATAACGGAAAAGCTGAGGTGGCCTTCAGTGCAGCATACACTGCTGTTACCCATCAAGACTTTTCCATGGGGCCACGATGAAAGGAGCAGGAGGACATTTCAGATATTTTTTCCATGTCCAACAGGTGTGGCTTATTATTCCACAGTATTTTTATTTCAAGGGAAAAGTTTAGTAACCCCATCTGGCAGGTGAACGGGATGGGGCTGGGGAAAGGAAGTCCTTTTTCACTGGCTCTGTGCCAGTGCATGTGTGTGAGGCTTGTTTAATTGCCTCATGTAATGAGTGCTTTATGCAGGACTGAGAAAATGTTTAAATGGAAGAATGACCCTGCAAGTGCCTTAAACCTTTGTCACTCCCAGCCCACATCCCTGGATGCAATCAGCAGGTCTTGCAGCTTGGCATTCAAGTCGCTGTGTGTGTGTGTTTCTGGGAGTGGGAGGAATTGTTCTGTGAGTGGATGGTTCGCATTAAGGTTCTTTTATCTTGCTTTCTTCAGTATTCCTATGCTATTTTATACACACACACAATGATTTAAAACCCTTATTTATCCCAGTCTGTCATAAAAGTGGCAACAATAGAAACTTCTACTGAGGATTGTCCATTGAACAGTGGTTTTGAGACTTGAGTCTACGGTATTTAAAGCTAACATTCTAGGGGCTTCACAAGATTGGTAGTTTTGTTGCCAGAGGTTTTTTTTAAAAAAAAATCATTACTTTGTTTGTTTTTGCATTTTATTAAAAAAAATAAGGTATATGAGGCATGGTGTCAGTAAGGCATGTGAGACAGCTGTCCCAACTTGATCTTCTCTGGTTTGGAGCAGGGGTTGGCTATGGTGGATGTGCTCTTGTGACAGGCAATAGGAGTGAATTAGTATAGTAGAGCCCCCACACTTCTGTTTGCCCAGATGTTCTAGGGCTGAGGAGGAGACGGGCTTTCAATATGTCAGATTCAAATATACTTCATTTCACTGATTTGAGCCTACCCACTGGCTGAAAGGCCCAGCAGAGTCTCCTCTTTCAGACCTTCAGCTATGGCCAGCACAAATTGTTCAACCCTGTGGTAGAAACCTTTCATATTTTTATGTTCTCATCAACCACCCTTGATAACTTTTTGGAGTAGGACAAGAAGGCAAAGCCTCAGCACAAAGAAGCCTAAGTATAGGCAAAAATGTTGGTAATTTCTTTTAGTAGCTGTTCCTCACTCCAGTGGAGTAGAAAATGTTTCCAGTGGAAATAATATCCATACCTTATCTATAACGATAATTAAAACATTTGAAGTAAAGTATTCGTTCTTGATTATTTGTAGCCATATGTATTTTAAAAATTTCTAGACGAGGAGGTTAAATTTTAGGCTTACAATATCTATTTTGTATATTACTGGAACTTCGAGATCCACCAAGTTACTTCAGATACCTTAGATTTTAAAGGAAAATGTAACTGGTGTACAGCTATTAATCATAAGTGTTTGAGCATCTCAGCTGGGCTTGTGGTTTTTCCACACAATAATCCATTCTCAGCCCAAGTTATTTTAATTGCAGAAGTCCAATTTAGCAGAGTAGAGAGTTAGAAATCTCTGAAAATTCATTGCAAATCACAAAGAATTCTACAATTAGATATACGTCTGGCCACCCTGGTCAAAACTAGCTTTCACACATTTCTTAAATTTTGTACCATAATAATGTTTAAGTGCTAATCTTCTCTTTCCTTTCCTATAAATCTTTGTTGTTCAGTTTCATTGCATCTCTTTGTTTTCTTATTTTCTCATAATCTACATGTTAAATGTCTTCTCAATTACAGAAGTAGCGATTCTGTGAACCTTTTTGCATAGGTGAAACCTGTAACCACAGCATTACACGGCATATTGACAAATGCAAATGGAAGACTGGATCGTGGAAAGAGGGCTTGCCCCTTTTTCCTCTTACCAAAGTTCATTTTGAATTCCATTGCCCTACATTTCTCAATAGCTTTCCTAAGTTGTATTTGCCTTCACAGTATGCACTGATGCAAGTCTGTTTTTGCCATTTTTATCATCCTCTTTCTATCACACCTGTCAATCAGATGACTAGTACATTTTGACCCTGATTCCTTTCTCTGTCATTATCATTGACTAATGGAGTGCCAGGCATTGTCTTATTTAATTTGCATCTTACACTCAACTACTGTTGTCTTTGTTTGGGCTTTTTAGTTTTCTGTCATTCATTACTAGAACTGAAAGGCGTAAGGGGCCATAGAGATTGTGATCATGGTTATGAGATGGTTTTTAAGCAACTTTTAATGTGGATATTAGTGATTTTAATGTTTGTATATATTTATGGTTTTATGTCCCGGCATTGAATGTTTGCTGTATATATGCTGGGCTCCACCCTGAGTCCCCTGCGGGGTGAGAAGGGCAAAATATAAATGTTTTAAATCTATATAAATAAAAATGTAATGTTTGTTTGTGGGATTAACAGAACTCAAAAACCACTGGACGAATTGACACCAAATTTGGACACAAGACACCTAACAACCCAATGTATGTCCTTCACTCAAAAAAATTAATTTTGTCATTTGGGAGTTGTAGTTGCTGGGATTTTTAGTTCACCTACAATCAAAGAGCATTGAATCCCACCAACGATAGAATCGAACCAAACTTTCCACACAGAACCCACATGACCAACAGAAAATACTGTGTTTTCTGATGCTTTTGGGACCCATCTGACGCCCCTTTATGACCTCCACAGGGGTCCAGACCCCCAGGTTGAGAAATGCTGCCCTAAGGCCATCCAGTCCAACTCCCTTCACCAGTGCAAGAAAACATAAACAAAGCCCTCCTGACAAAGAGCCATCCAGCCATAGATATAGATAGATAGATATGATTCACACACATACACACATATATATAGTATCATAGATTTGAAAGGGACCTCTACAGAAGGACAATGATATGTTGCATATTCCAAAGTAGGCAAACCAAGCAATCTCCACATCAACACTGACAAAGAAACAATAAGAAATACTGTTTACCCACAAGCATAAAGAAATTACATATATTAGAAATCAACACTTTCTAATTAATTTATTTTCCAGATCACCACACTGGGCCACAGCAATGTGTGGCAGAGGACAGCTAATAAATAAATAAATAAATAAATAAATAAATAAATAAAGCACTTTTCAGCTATTTCAGAATTGAATATTTTCATACCTAGGTTTTTATTTTTCAGTTACACAGAGGCTTCCACCCCTCAGCAGTATAAGATAATATTTGACAATAAGTAGACAGAAGCTGTCTGCAGCCTGGTACTATCTTGGTGCTTCTTTCTGGAAGTGCATGAGCATTTCACAAGGGATGGTATTCTTTTCCAGTTTTTGCTCACCTTCCAGACATAAAGGGAGATGATAAATGGACAGTCTTCTGAATGCTGTTGGATTACCAACTGTCAGCCTTACCAAGCATATGCAGCGTTGAGGAATGATCGAAGTTGCTGTCTGACTTCTTGAGCATTTGCATGTTTCTCAATAATAAGAGATAAGGTGAAGTCTCAGTACAAGAAAATGTAACAGGCTCAAAGAGACTATGGTAGTTTGCAAATCATAAAATCAGCCCTTCTCCTCTTCGTTCTGATCTGCTTTCACCCTTGGCATTGATTTCATAGGAGAAGAGCAAGCCTTTCTTTCCCTAAACTGAGGCCCAATCCTATAGTTGTCGTAGCCTTTTGAATGCTGCTTCTAATACTATGTTGTTTTTTATATAACCGAAGCATTGTTCTTCCTCTGTAAAACTCTATTCTTTCTTGATCCAACACAGGGTGCCAAGAAACTGTGCCCACAGTGCAACACCATCACCTCTCCAGGGGATCTCAGGCGCATCTACTTATGAAGGACAATGCTGCTCCGATCAGCTTGCTGTATCATGGGGACTGGGAAAAGGAGTGACAGCAACTTGAAAACAAAACTAGAGACTCCAAATGTGGACTAGAGGCTTTGGGAGCCGCACGATGCCTCTGCTTCCAGACCTGTCACTGGCGCTGCCAACTCCAGAAGGAGGCCAAACCGAAATCCTTATTGTCAATCTCCCCTTTTTTACAAACTGACGATCCACGTTTTGTCCCATTTCTTCAAGAGCTGGGTTCCATCGTGGACGACTTGCAAGCCTTTCCAGGGGGAGTATCTTTGTCGACATGCCCACCAGAGAAGGGGCTGGATCTTCCACAGCAGGAACTTTCATAGCCTGTTCCTTGTGTTTTTCTCCCATCCCCAATTTTATTTGTGGCGTTCAAGTTGTTTTTTCTTTTTAAGTCAAAGAAAAAGCCTACACCCACGCACCCTCAAAAGGCAGAATGAAGCACATGTAATATAGATTATATGTTTACAATGTTGTGTATAAATGGGATAGACTCCAACATTACATACTAATGTTTCCCTTTTATTTTTATTTTTATTTTGGTTTTTGGTTGTACGTTTTTTTAAAAAAAAAGAGAAAAAAATACAGAGAACATTAAACCCATATTTTTCTTGGTTCTGCAGAGTTTTGACATTAAAGTCATTAGTTTAAAAAGTATATATATATATATTATACATATATATAATATAAATGGTTTAATGTTCTGTGGTGTATATTTCCTCATTCAAATATGAAGTTAACAGCTTCGAATAATGGCTGTAATTTTGCCCATAACTTACATACCTTCTAAGAGAAATAGGGAAAACAGGATTTTTTGTCATTAGTTATAGCTAATGGAAGTATTTATATAAGATTCTTATCCCACTTAAACATTTTCAGTTTTTCAGAAAGAAAGACACATAAGATCAGGTTTGCAAGATCTTACCATATTTCCACCAGGCAAAAGGATGTTTACATAAAGCAGCAAAAAGTGGAGAGTGCCTGTTGCAGCTGGCAATGTCGGTGTAACTTTGCTCGAACCAGGTTCTTTGGTCATGTGAAAGCTGAAGCCATCTTTTGTCCAAGGATACTTTCTCCAGGATGTGAGCCCATGCACTGAACAAGATTCTCTAGCTCTTTCTATGAGGGGAAGAATAAATGTAGAGGATACATTCTGAATGCTTTGTCTGAGCAGGAGATAATCTCACCTCCCTCCTGAAACATGGTGCAGGTGCTCTGGTACTCTGGCAGCCGAGGTACTGTATTGACATTCCATCATTTTCAAAGATTCCATGCTTTTAAAAGAAAATAAGTATGTGCAGAGTTCTTAGTGGTTGGGGCATTACTTAGTCTTTTATCACTCCTACTTTGGAGCTGTGGCAATAATATAACTTGATACAAATCCTCACAAGATGAGAACCTCTGGTGATGTGTTTGCACAATGCTCCTGACATGCATTTTACCAGGCCCTTATTTTGAAAGTACCCCAGAAGTGAGCCTTGTGCAGTCTGCTCACCACATATTTTTAACCAGAAACAAGTAACACAAATATTAATACACACACAAGGCAAAGAAGCTGCCTGCCTTCCATTTGGAGAAGAAAAGTTAAGATTGCTGGGAATCTTGAGACTCAAGCCAGACATTTGGTTGATATTTCCAATAGCTGGCTTTACTAATAGACCCCTCTATGGAGATTCACCTAAACTGGAGTGACAGAAATGATGTGTTTATGCACGGGTATCTTCTACAAATTACCTTCGGAGTGAGTTATTCTGGCTAATGTATTTTGAGGTTAAATCTATCCTTTACATTCTAGAAGGCCAGCTACACCAGACAAACCATTATCAATGGTTCAATTATATTTTGCAGCATATATATATGTTGCAGCTTGGCTGATCAGGGACTGGATGCAAGGTGGGAACAGCTTCTCTTAAGAAAATGTTGATCATTGCTGTACTACACACATTTTTATCCTGTGAATAGTTTGGTACCTTTAGATGAGCCTGAGCTTCCAGCGTGTATGAACATCAGTGTCTCATTTCACCCCATTTCTGATCATTCCTCCCTGGGAACTGAAGTAACAAAGGGCCACCTGCAGCTTATGTTAAAGGGGAGGGAATACCCCTTTTCAACCAAGAGCAGATCTCGCATACTAAATGGGCAACAACAATTGGCAAGAGCCACAAAGCTTCTGGAGTGCCATTTGTTCAACCAGGAGGTTCCTCCACTGGTATAGCACTTAAGCATTCTTAAATTTATCACAGTGGGGATGTCTTATCACCCCAAATCTGTTCGCCCAGTACAATCAAGCCATCTCTATTGAGACTTCTAGTGGAACGCTACATTTCACCCTGATCTGTTTGGGAATAGGCTATGCTGAGAAGGCTCACTCTTGACGTTCCAGCAAATTGGCACTGGGAGCAAGGAGCTTTCTCTGGTCCTATGGACCACTACTAAGCCAAATGAATATATGTAAACCATATATAACTAGTAGCCTTTATTTTTAAAGTTAAATCTCACTTTTTTTTCCTTGAGGGCGTAGGGAAGGGAGAAAAGCCCCAAAAGGAAAGTGCAAGGGATTGACTTGTTCATTTCCTCTTTTGGAGCAAGGCACGTTTGGCAAAATTCCATGACCATTCCCTCTTCCTCAATGAACTTGAAAAGAAATGCCCAAAGATTCCCAGCTGCACAAGGTAATATTCAAGTTGTGTCAATGATTGTGTGTCGATGTATATTCTATAAAAAAGGTACTTGTCATTCCCGTTTGTAAACTACATTGACATTAATTAAATGAATATAAAACCTTTCAAGTGTACTTGCCACCTTATCTTTGCTCAAGAGTTTCAATGCTTATGTTGGTAGCCACTATATAGTTATATTCTTTATTACAGTTACAGATCAGACATATGCCAGATCGTTGCAAGGCAAAAAGAAATTGAAAAGAAAAGATAGTAAAATATGCCTGTATGTAAGCAGGAGTGGCAATACTGTAGCCAGTGCCAAATCAGAATTCACTGGAAATGAGACATATAACATTGGGATTTGATCTGGTAGAACAGACTAAATTACAAAACTTGGAAACTTTCAGAACAGATTCTTGGAAAGAACTGAAGATAGAAAGTGAGATATAACTTTGCTGTCATTGCTATTCTTATTTATACCCTGCTTTCCTCTCTTGAATGTAACTCAAAAGTAACTCACAACATTAAAACCAATATAAAATTATCAGGCTTTCCTGGGAACTGCTTCAAATATGGGAATAAATATCCTCATAATACAGGCCATATAGCCACACATGGTCCACCACTTCAAACATGTCCCACTGATACAGATTTGTCAGGATCAGGGAGTCTACACCAGAGGAGGATTCATACTCACTCAGTAATTGAATTAGTATGAATCCCCCTCTGCTACTACCACCACCTCCACCTCTGTTGTCTGCTACAATAGTTGTCCCAGCTCCTACTGGGCTCCCTTCAAGTGTGGCTCAAATGTTTCCACCAGTATCCACTGAGCAAATAACACATTTGAGGCCACAGGCAAGACCAATTGCCGTTTATCCATATGTTCCTAAAGAAGAAGATGGACTAGAACTGAAAACTGAAGTGGGTCTAATCCAGATTTCATATGGAGCAGAGCATTTAAACAGCAGGATGAATCTCCCAAAATAGCATGCAAAACATTGGCTTGTGCTATTTCCAGGGTCATGAGGTCTTATAAATACTCAGTTGGGAACTATAGCAAACTTGAGCTATTTGCCCTGGAATACTTTTATCACTTCCTTGGAGCAGAAAAATCTACGGATGACAGCAACTGACTTTTGTGCATTCCCAGTGACGTGTGCAGAGTGCTTTCCCCATGCCCCCAAAGGTTGAACTACTGCTCTCAAGTATTTGTATAACATGATCTATTGCTTGAACACACACTTTGGTTCCTGATTTCTTCAAATCTTGATATTTTTTACTAATAATAGTCACACTCCTTCATGATCACTCAAGTTTTAGAGAAAGAGTTCCATAAATGAATTATTTGAAGTGTGAGATTAACCCATTTAATTAACTTTTCTTCCTACCTTTCTATAACCATGATGCCATTTTATGTAGTTTACAGCCAGCTTCTAAAATGTTAGATTCTTCCTAAGGGAGGATGGGTAAGTATGTTTAGTATGAGGGCTTTGAAATCCCTTTAGGAACATGTAAAACTTGAACTGCTGATAGTTCTGAATGGATTCCCCACTTTCAGCCTAAACACACTGTTCAGCAACAACAGCACCCCAGGAATAGAAGAATAATATGGATATATTAGATCAATGGGTTCTTCTTCATGATCCCTGTGCATGACACCATAAGAATCTATGATTATACAGAGAAACACCTTGTAAACAGCTGGATAGCCTGGATTCTGGGCAGTGGGTTTACCTGTTTTGTGTACATGCCTCACATGTCATCTTGGTTCTCCTTTGTCTGCCAAAGTGGTAGAACCTCAAGGGGAACTCATACTATTCTCACCTAAATAAACTCATACTTCTACTACTCACCTAATGGATAGGAAATCTCCAATACCAAGTGTGATATGAATCCAGAGATCCACAAAAATCTGTGAGAGGGCTTTCCAAAATCTAACTCGGTATTTTGGGAAACAAAGGCACATCTTGGAACTCTTGTTATATTTTTCCATCCCAGATGTAGCTGCAAGCTATAACAAACAAAGCTGACCAAGGTCAAGCAGCAGCTGACTCCTAAAATGTGATTTAATATCTGCCCTGTACTTTGTGGCTCCTTAGAGTCAAAGGAGTGCACAGAGGAAGAGGATTTTCCAGTTTATGGAGCGGAGCGAGAGAAATCTCAGTATTGACTATCTATAAAGCATTTATGACTTCTTCACAACACAGACACGCTGGATTTGGGAGTTTAGACGATCTCATAACAACTGCATAAACAGCTCCAAATAAGGTAAGTTTGACTATGCAGAGCTCAGCTAACCTTAGGGTAAACTAAACCCTAGTCCAGGTCAACTGGTTCAGTAGTTAGTTTTCAAGCCTCCAGACTGTGAAGATGCCTTAGCTTTGGCAGGGCCAGTCCACTCAAGAATAAAGAATGATGCTCTCAGTAATAGCATGAATATCAAAAACATTGAAAACTGCAAGGATGCAGATCTCAGGAAAATAATATTGGCAAGACCTCCTCACCAATACAACAGACTGCTAGTGGGCTCTTTCGTCAAAGCTGAGCACTATAAGACCATATTTTGCCAGTAAAAGCATAATGGGTATGCAGTGTCTTTCAAGAAGTTATCATTGCAACCATCATGTTATTTTTCTAGTTTTAACTGGTTTGAGATGGCAGATTTGTTTTAGCACCTCACTACCGATGCATGGAATGGGTTTAAAGTCTCACACAATACAATACACGTTCTTTCAAACTAACATTATTTATAAATTCCTCTTGGGACTTTAAGTATATCAGTCAATGCAAATTATAAGAAATCTCTCCTGAAGGACTGAGTTGCTTTGTCTGCTAACTGGAACTAGGGTTTCTTGACTGAATCAAACACACATTGTTTTTCAGAAAGAATAAGGCATTCAACAAGGGGCCAGATTCTGCCCCAGTGAAAACACTGCTCTGAAGAACAATATGAAACGTATTGATTGAGATTCTTTTAGCCAACTGTTATTCAAGACGAACATGGCAAGTTCTTGATGCTATGGGGATACTAAGTCACCATGTCTGTCTCCTGAGGAACCTGTATAATGACCAAGTAGCAACAGTAAGAACAGACCATGGAACAACATACTGGTTCAAGATTAGGAAAGGAGTATGGCAGGACTATATACTCTCACCCAACCTATTCAACTTGTATGCAGAACACATCATGCATTGTGCAGGGCTTGAAGAATCCAAGGCTGGAGTTAAAATTGCTGGATGAAACATTAACAACCTTAGATATGCAGATGATACCACTTTGATGGCTGAAAGCAAGGAGGAGCTGGGGAGCCTTATAACCAAGGTGAAAGAAGAAAGTGCAAAAGCTGCGTTGCAGTTAAAAATCCAAAAAACTAAGATTAAGGCAACCAGACTGATTTATAATTGGCAAATAGAAGAGGAAAGCGTGGAGGCAGTGACAGACTTTGTTTCGTTCTCGTGGTATCTGTGGAATGCACACTATAGGTACTCTGATGCCGAAGGCAGCAGCTCCAGAAGTCTTATAGAAATAATTAACTTGAGAAAGGCCCCACCCTTGCGCTCCCAACCACGTGTCCAGCCCAGTTCCCTTTTTTCCACCATTGTGGATTCCACAGATGACCACTCGAAGAACCATGGTTACAGGTAAGCAACCACAGTATTTCTAGGCGCAAAGATTACTGCAGAGGCAGACTGCAGCCAGAAAATCAGAAGACGTTTACTTCTTGGGAGGAGAGCAATGACCAATCTCGATAAAATAGTGAAGAGTAGAGAGACATCACACTGGCAATGAAGATCCGCATAATTAAAGCAAAGGTATTCCCTGTAGTAACTTACTGATGTGAGAGTTGGACCATAAGGAAGGCTGAGCAAAGGAAGATAGACACTTTTGAACTGTGGTGTTGGAAGAAAATTCTGGGAGTGACTTGGACAGCGAGAAGATCAAATCAGTCCGTACTCCGGCTGCTCACTGGAGTGAAGGATATTAGAGGCAAAGATGAAGTACTTTGGCCACATAATAAGAAGACAAGAAAGCTTGGAGAAGATAATGATGCTGGGGGAAATTGAAAGAAAAAGGAAGAGGGGCAGACGAAGGGCAAGATGGATGGATCCTTGAAGTGACTGGTTTGACCTTGAAGGAGCTGGAGGTGGCGACCACTGACAGGGAGCTGGAGGTGGCGACCACTGACAGGGAGCTCTGGCATGGGCTGATCCATGAGGTCACGAAGATTCAGAACTGACTGAATGAATAAACAACATTGATAGGTCTTTGAATCTCACCCCAAGATTCTTGCATTGGTCAATGCCAGCCTTTTAGCAGTTGGGGATAGCACAAAGTGTGTAAGCCTAGCTTACTTTAGTAGGAAATTGAAATGCCTGAATCCACATTCTACTTGTGGATTTCCTAGAAGTTGATAATCCATTTTAACTTCAATTACAGGCAACCCTACAAATGAGAGACCTTCAAAGTCATCCAATCATGATCAGCCTTACTCAGCCCTTGCAGACCTATTAATAAGAAATCTAAAATGAAGACTCATACAGAAAGAGGCAGTAAACTGCCCCATATTGTTTAGGTCTTTGTAAGACAACTTTAAATTCAGCATGGAAGCAAACTAGTAGCTAGTGTAGTGCTTAACAGCACTGATGTTACATGGTTTCTAAAATGCACACCTAACATCAGTCTGGATGTTTCATCATAGAACCCCACATGGAGAGCACTACCGTGTTCTGATCAAGAGGCAACTAAAGCACAGACCACAACAGCCAGATTTCCCTTCACCAAGAAAAGGGCACAACTGACAAACCAGCCAAAGCTGAGCAAAGGAATTCTTTGCCACTGCAGCAACTTGGTTTTAAGCATTTTAATTATTTTAATTATTTTTAACTTTTGTAAAATAATTGTTTTCATTGCATCTTTTAAAATTACTTTATGTTACCTCAAATCCCACTCTGGGAGAGCAGCTGTGAAGTTACAGCAAAGTCTCTCCATTAGGACTGTGCAATTTAATATTCGATGCAGCCCACATTTCAACTTCCCCTATTGCTGTGATTGCATATTAGCTCTACCAACAGGTTATAGACAACACCAAAGGGCTGTGTTTAGTCCAAATTTAATTCAATT